CTGCTACTACTACTACTCCTGCTCTTGCTTCTGCTGCTACTACTACTACAACAACTACTACTACTACTACTGCTACTACTACTACTACTACTACTACTGCTACTACTACTACTACCACTACTACTACCGGAGGATTTTGGATCTAAGCGGCTGAGAACATCTCAAGGCTGAGGGATCTCTCAGATGGATGCTCCGTTTCTGAGACGTCGCAAAAAAAACGACCCTGCTTGCAATGAGTCGCAATCGTGACGGTTCGCGTTTTGACAAGCTGTAGAGGCATGTTCACGGAAGTCTTCATGATGACCAGGACTACCAGATCTGAACCCTGAACCCTGCACTCTGAACATTTGCCATGGCACACATCCGTCGTGGTAGGTCCCCTCCCCTTGCGGTGGCAGGCAAAGCGCTTCGTCTCGTAGATGGGCTCCTGGCTGACGGTGAAGTCCGACTCAGATAAAGAGAAGAGAAGCGTAGGCATAGTCATGAGAATACAGAAACCATACATACGCAGTCAGAGAGATGGGCAGAGAAAGACACATTGGAACATAGTAGACAGGGGGCAATATTCAGCAATGATCGAAAAAAGATAAACTGGAGCCTACGAGCAGCCTCTGGGATCCGTTGGGCTAGGTCCTCATAAACACGAGAGCCTCCAAAAGTCTGACGTTTCGGCTGTACTCTTGGCCCCAGAAAACTGGCTCAAGAGGCTCCCAATACCGCTGCTATTGCGTTTCCGCAGATCTGGTCATCTGAACAGTACGTACCAAAAGGTTCCCTTTCGACAGGCTGAGAATGCTCCATCGCACAAATCGGGACGGCCTTGCTGATTCCCAGAAGCTAACTCCTCCGTACTATTGAAGTTTGTAGTTGGGAATGTAGGGGGCGCAGTGGTACCGAAGAGTAACAAATCAAACCACGAAATGAACAGCCGGCAGCACCATGACCGTACGACGGCGAGAAGTAGGAGAATCGATATACATGCTGAAAAGGATGTGAGAATCAAAATGCAGACCGCAAGCGGCATCCGTCCATGTTGACACGATTCGGGTCTATATTGGGCCCCCATGTTTTCTGATGCTCCTCAAAAACCCCTTCATCCCACGAAATTCCCCAAATTCGAGGCAAAGGACAAAGAGAGCGACAAAGACATCCATCCTACCTCGAGCAGCAAAAGCTCAGCAAAAGGGCACCTCCTGTAGGTTCAGTGGCCTCAGTGGTATTGCTTAAGGCTTAAGACTTACAAGTTCATTCAAGGTCAAAGCTGAAGCAAGCCTTGGAACGTGGCCTTGGCTGTCCCAACCATGGAGTCATGATTCAAGGGGCTTCCGGGGAAGCATCAGTTCTATGGTGGCCTCATGGCTGCTTGAGACAATCGAATGGTCAAAGGAAACACAGGCAGCATCTACCTGTATATACAGACTGTTGACTATCACGAGCCAGCAACCAGTGTATTCTACACACCTGAATAAAGTGCGCCGCTGCAGGGGCAGAGTCCGAATCCACGAACACATCCCGAAGAACCTTGTGGCTTTGCACACCTTCGTCGTTGCAGCCATGTCGCTCTTCAAGCGACTGCGCCCGCGTGTATCCGACCTAGCCGGCACATTCGCACTCGAGTTGGGGCTTCGATTTGCTTCCTGAGCCTCAGCAGAGCATTGCTGCTACTACTTCTGATCTTCGATGTTGAAGGGAGGGAGTCATCAAGAAGAGAAGGATGGAGAGACACAGCACTTTCGCTTGTTGGATTCAACCCCTTTAAGTTGTATATACAAATATGGTTTAGGGGTCAGGCTTTCAGGCCCTAACACCGAAACCCCAACCCTAAACCCTCAACCTTAATCAGCATTACCTCAAACCCTGGCCTCCAAGCCTGCGGACCCTTAAACCCGAAACGCCAAGAACACCTTCCGATCTAGTCCTCCCCAGGCGCCCTATCTGTTGGGCCTCATTCACCGCAGGCGCCTGCGAACGGCCGGCCACTTAGAAGGCTTTGTTGGAAATTCGTGGGTTGCAACAACTTGGTTCAGCAATGTTAGGGATCTTGAACCCTGATGTCTGAAACCCAGACCCGAATCCCGGGGACTTCGTTAAAACCCCCGAAACTATGAAACCCTTGCCTGAAACCTTGTGGCATCCCTTGTACAGCCCCTAAAGCAACCCCGACAAAAGACCTTGCGAGTTCAGACCCCGGCGGGCTCACCCAAGAAGCCCCCCACAGACACAGACATATGCACACACAGTGACAGACAGACAACCGGACAAAGAAACAAACATGAATATATATATATATAGTTAACATATATATATATATACGTACAGAGTTAGTTGTCGCTCTATGCTTGTATGCGTATACAACTGTATACCTGTATACACATAAAATATGCATACACAATGTATGCGCATAGCACTGTATACCTGTATACACATAAAATATGCATGTGCCAGGGCCATGACGCATCGAATAGTGTTTCGGGGTATACCGCTACTGCTACATTTTTGAAGGGCACTCCAAGGAACCATATTACCATTACCGTTACCATTTGTTCTGGCACCCTGTTTTCTTCAGGTGAAACCAATGCAACAGCCCTAAGCCCTGGCCCTAGAGATGAAAAGGTTGAAGGGCTTTGGCGAAGGCTTATAGAGCCAAAGGCCAAGAGGTCTCAGGTTCACACAGCGTCTAGAGTCTTTAGGATTCGGAGTGTAGATCTTTTGAGATTCGAGGGTTGACTTAGTGAGACTTAGTGGCGCATTAGTCATGCAAGGGGCGGATGGGGGGATGTTAACGGATGTTAAAGGTATTCTACAGAGTATGGGAACACCAAGACCAAGACTAGTTGTTGAGGCCCTATAAGAATAGAGAGAGCCATTCTTGAACTGATAAAGCACCTGGAAATTCAGCATGCTTGGGGCACGGTGCTCTTGCCGCAACTCCGGTTCCAGGCACTTCCAATGTCTTATACTAGTGAGTCATGCACCCGGGACTGCGGCATAACCCCCACGAGCAGAAAAAGTTGCTCACAGTCGCAAACAGTACTCAACCCCAAGCCCTGCACCCAAAACGATAAGCCCCACTGACACAAACTTAGCAACCCTGCACCCGGTGGATGCCCTGGATATCCGATCACAACAGCAATTACTGGAGAAAGCTCAAGACTCAGAGCAGCCACCCTGAAACGAAACCGCTACTCAGGCTTCAGTGTCGGAATATCTGGTGTTGACGGCTCACAGCTTGTCTTCTGTCGAAAACCGGGCCCCAAGACCCTAAATTGTAAACGCCAACCCAACCCTGAATTCCAAACCCTAAAACCCTAAACTCCAGCCCGAAAACGTGTGTCCTGGACGCCAGGTGGTTCCTGGAGCATCGATTCGGGAGATTCCTGGATCGCAGCTCCGCTCAGAACCTCCGGCTGCTGGGGTGAGGTTTAAGGGTTCAGAGGTTGGGAGGTCTGAAGCTGGGTTTACAGGTTTCGGGCTTTACGGATCAAAGCGCCGGGAGTTGCATGGTTTTAATGGCCTCTTTGCGGCATAGGCCCTATACTGCCTACTTTCCTGAATGCTGACGCCGGAAGCCGAAGCCTCTCGCCCCAGGGTTCTGCTGGTGAGTGGGTTCTGGCCATCGAAACTTGGATCTGGGAAACTGATCTTCTCAGTTTGAAGGCTTAGGATGTATGTAGGCTTCCGCTACACTGCTAGGCTATGAATGAACCCGTGTGCTGTCACAAACTCAACAAAGCCAATGTGGTAACAGTCAGAACTCTAAAGCCTAACCCTACTCTAAAGCTCCTAAGCCCCAAAATCTCAACCCTATAAACCTCATACAAAAAAAGGCAAGGAGGGCTGAGGCAACATTCTAAGGCTTCCTTTGCAGTTTAGCGACCATGGTGCTCTATCCGACCTCCTTCTACAGTCTCGGGGTAGCAGTGTTACACCGCATGTGACTCTTGGCTTCGTCCCGGCGCTCCCTCATCCACAGCTGTTTAAGAGTGCCAACCTGGAACTTAAACCCCAATAGCTTCAATAGTTAGACCTGGCATCTGGAAACCGTTTCCTTATATGTACAGCAAACGCTGCAAATTGAGTCCCTGCGTCCTGTTATTGAGAGAGGATGCTCGCGGCGCGCGTCACTCCTGCTGTAGTGCGGTGCATAGTTTTCGCCGACATCCTGTTGTTTACAACGAATCCGTGTGGCCCGGCGAGCCTGATCCATTGCCACTTTTTGCTCTGGAAAGTATTAAATCGCAGCGGTACTTGGGGAAAAGGATTTCGGAAGTCCCTCTGGATCCCGACAGGAAAGGCGGGAAACATAAGTCAAATGTGTGCCAATACTTGGGCGATCTCGTGCTGCTGCTCGAGCCGCCAATACTCGTGGCAAAGCGATGCCGGCGTGCTCTCCAACATTTCTGAATGCTGCCAGTACTTGGGGGGAAACTTCTGATTGTGGCTGTGGCCTCTTCGTTCTCTCCTGGTGATCTGGTCGCCTGGTGGCCTTCGTGATTTCTTTGTGGTCGCTTGGTGGTCTCCTGTTGTCCTCGTCGTGGGTGGTCTTCTGATGATCTCCTCGTGCTCTTTGGATGGTGTCCTGGTGGTCTCTGTCTGCTGGTGTCGTGGTGGTTTCGTGTGGTCTCCCTGACACCTGCTGGAGCTCTGGACACTCCAAACTCATGTTTTCGAGTGCAAATGTAGTATTTGGAATGCTTTCGCAGGGTTTTTTGAGCACGGGGCCCGCCAACCTGCTATTTTCGAATACAAGTTGTAGTACGCGGACTGCCTCCCCCCAAGGCTCCCGGAGCTCTGGGCCCTCCAAACTGGTGTGTTCGAGTACGAGTGTAGTATATAGGTGGAAGGCTTCTCCTGAGCTGTGGGCCTTCGAACAAGTGTTTTCGAGTACAATTGCTGTGCGCAAAATGTTTCCCAACAGCGTAAATGCTATTAGAACACAGAACACACATGGCAGCTTCAGTAGTTGCTAGCTGTATGCTCCCAAACGTGGCGAAACAACCGTCCGGGGGTCGCGACCTGCTGGTCCTAGTGGCATGAATCTGTCTGGTCTTTCACTGTTTGGGGATCTCCGCCGGCATAATCTAAATCCGCAAACCCTGCACCCTGAAATGCTGCAGAAGATTGCAGAAGGCTCTCATATCTGCACAGCACGCCTGCATGTTGTAGGTGCGATCGCTGACGCTGCACACGAATTTCGTCGTTACCTGTACAGACCCCAGGTTGGTGTACGATGGAACTGTAGGGTCGCCATGGATTCTTATCAACAGGGCCATAAGTCCCGGCACAGGTCTCCACTTCACCCGCCAGAGTCGGGTCAGGGTGCAGGGACAAGAGGCTGTTCTTAATGAATCGTGTCTGAGCAGGTGAACGGCTTTTCTGGCTCAGGCATCTGAGTGTGTCCAGTCACGCAAGCCAGCTACTGTAGTGAGAGCCGAAGAGGCCCCAGACCCCCACCTGATCAATCCAGTGCTCTCTTACCTCTCCTTCCCCTGTCTTCGTTCTGCAAGAGCTATAGTCTACAGTTAAGACGACAGCCACCTGCGGACCAAGCCTTCGATCCAACAGATGTTCAATTGCGTACAGGCATCGGCGAACATAGGGATGAAGGGATGGGTGCATGAATATCTCCTGCAAACCCCAGTCCCAAACTTGCCTGCTCCTCGAGCGGCAGCTGTTCCCACAGCTGTCCACGATCGTCCGTGAGGAGCGTCTCGCCTTCTTCAACTGCAAAATCGGGTTCGGGTTGTTTTGGAGTTCGGGTAAAGGGCCGCGGCCGTTTTTGGGGCCTGGGATTTAAGATTTCAAGTTCTGGGCTCAAAGGGTTCACGGTTAGATTCGGGTCACTGGCAAGCGCACGAAGGTCCAAAGGGTTCTCACTCTCAGCTCCAGTAGCCAGATCTTGACTGTGCGCATCTCAAGCCGTGCCCGGAGGTCAGCATGCGACGTCAGATTGGTGTAGCATCTTACTTCGGCTACTGCTGAGACCGCCATGACTGCCGTCACCTGATGTTTATTCACAGCCTTCTGGATTCCATCGCTGCCAGCATTACTCACTGCCAGCATTGTTTGTGCCATCTCCTACCTGTCACTTAAGCCTGATGTAAGCCTACCTCTGTGAATCCTGACCGCCTAAACGAACCGCCGGCTGCCTTCGGCTTTGAAGCACTTGGTCTTGCGCCGGTGCTCTGGGTTGCAGCAGCACATGGGGGGGCCGGCATGCAGCACCGTGCTAGCATCCTCACCTTAGCTCATGCCCAGTTGCCGCATGGGCCGCATTCTTCGTCTATATAGCGGTTCGGGACCCGGAAGTTGTCAAACTAAACGTCCTCCGCCGAGGCCCTTAATCGCTTGTATGGCGCACCATCAAAGTGTATGGATGAGATGTCTAGCTTGACACAAGGTCTACCATCTTGACACACCCGTTTACCTGGGGTCCCCGGCGAGCACATGCTGCCAGCTGCAAGGCAGCAAGACTTAACAGAAGATGCATGGAGACACAGGGAACACACCACAGCCTTCCCCGGCTGGCCTGAGCAAACAAACGACTCCTGCAGGCGGTGGTGAAGCGATGTCCACTGTGGCAGAAAAACTTTGGCACGACTCTGAACGGCAAGTTTTCAGTATGGTGCGCAGGCCTAGACAGTAAATCAAACTCCGGAATGAGAGATGCTAAGCCATACTTAGGCTGTGCCCACGAATTAGAATTCAAAAACCTCAGAAGCCCTCAACAACTGAAGGCCATCCACCACGCGCTGTGCATCCCGAACTAGACCCTGCAGAAAAAGTCGAGGATCCGTTTCAAGCTGGTTCCAAACCCGCAATGGGTGACTGTGATCTAAAGTCTAAAGCAAATGCGCAATCCTACGCCCTAAAGGCCCAAGCCCTGAGCGTTTAATGAATGCTGTTGAACCTGCATCTTATTACGGCTCTACTTTCTATTCTATTCTGACAGTCTAATCACCCCGAGCCTGTGCCTTGCAGCGCTCGCAAGCCTGCTTCCGGCGCGCCGACACGCGCCAAGCCTGGGTCCCTTAAGGCTCCCTCAGGTTCCGTTCCCACAGTGACGTGGTATTTGGCTGTAATCGGCTTTATTGAAAACGCTCATGAGGTCTTGGGTTTACAGCTCGCCTTTTTGGGCTTGGGAGGGCCGGACACTAGTACAGAAGGCACCGCCGCCCAAAGGTCCATTCTAAAATGAGGAGACCTCCGAAATCGACACTGATGGCAGGTGAGCTGTGCTTTTCATGTTCTGTTTCATATTCTGCCTTAAGCGTTGGCACATTTGAGTCACTGCACATGTCGTCCCTTCCACGGACCATTTGTTGCTTCCGCGCCCTTCCGCGGAGCAACGCCGTCCGCGGCCCTCTGCGCGCACAGTCCCAGAGAGCCAGAGAGATTTCCAGATCGAGAGAGGCAAACATCTTGTGTCAAGAGAGGGAAAAGGCGTTGCTCAACTCTGGCCCTGGAAAACAAGAATGGGGCCTTCTAGATTAGGACCAGGACAGCTTAAGCATAAGATTGATACTAGGGTCTCGGCTTTGGGAGTTTAGTGAGTTTAGTGTTCGTATTTCACATGCCTTCACAAATTTCAAAGTGGCCAAACAAAATCGGACAGTATAGTTTTCACAATCAACAGCACGAGTCCTGCGAGCTGTGGCTTCGAAGCCGTACAGCTCAGATCCCAAGGAGGACCTAAAACGTTCCCTGAATTCCGGACCCAAGAACGCCACATCCTACGCCCCGAAAGTCCCAATAAACTTCCCTTACTGGATCTTGCTGCCGAAGCTCTATAGGCACTCATCTCCGGACTAAAATTTTACGGATTTAGACAAGCAAAAGCTTTCGGGACTACGAGGTTTGAGCCTTGTGTTCAGGCTGGAGGTTTTGCGGTCTCACAGCACAGAAGCTTCCGCAAAGTGGCACTTTAAGGAACGGTTGCAGAACACGCTTTCCTAGCTACCTCCTGCTCACTGCAATGCCGGCTTGGATCCAGGAGGCTGCCTGCCTGCTAGCTTGGGTGTTCGGATATTGACCTGTGGGCCTTTTCGAACGATCCTCACGGGTGGACCCTTCGAGCTTTTCTAGGGGCACGTCGACTACGTCTATCGGGAACGTGGTGTCTGTAATGAAGGGGTCCTGCTCAATTCAAAGTGACCAGATTCATTCTTCAACTGATTCTACATGCCACCAGCCGACATGTATGTCACTGATCCGGAGAACGCTGCCTGAGCTTCTGACGCGCATCTTCCGCTTGCCTGGAATTCACTGCCGGTCATCTCTGGTTTGCTCCGTTGCACACGCAAGAAAGAAATTGTGTAGAGGGTTTCAGTGTAGACTCTGCTCGATCAATCAGCTTGCAGGCTGTTTCTGTGTAGCTGATTGTTTGGGCGGCCTCTATCTTGTCAAGAAAAAATCCGGCAGGAGCCGTTTTTTGTCAATCCATAGATTAGTGTCTGATGGGGCTCCACCAATGTTTTGAAAGTGAGCTTCCCAAGTTGGTCTTGCAGCCCGATTGGGCGATAATGTCCCGCCTCCTTGCCGGTTTTGGCTGGTTTGCGCATAAGAACAAGGTGAGCCGTTTTTTGCCTACAGTCTCGTCTGCTGATGGGCAAGGTCAGATGACGAGTGGATTGGATGCTTAGAAGGAGGGCCTGACGCCCAGAACTTGGGTGTAACGTATCTGTCACTTTCACTGGGGTTTTGTCGGGAGAAACTTACAAAACATGGTGCCACATTGTTCAAGTCAATATTCTTAGAACAGTAGTTATAATATATGGTAAATCAATGCCTGGGGTGCGCACGGTATGAGTATAGGGGTTAGTCTGATCAGATCGCTGTTTGCGCGAGGCGCCCGTCATAGACAGTGGTGCAGCGCACAATTGAGCCAGAATCACGGTCTTTCCACGCTCCCACTTCATGGTACATTTCAACACTGGTGCTCGCGAACTTGACGAATTGCTGTCTGGAAAAAACTGCAGTGCATGTTTCGGGGTGTGATTGGGGAGGCCCGAGAACATTGTCTCTATACATGCTTTCACATGTGTATATATATATATACAGGTGTATGTATGTATGTATGTACGTACGTATGTATGTATGTATATATATATATATGTGTACACATGCATGTCAATGTAGACTACGTAGAGTTAAACTTTCTCCGACACATCAACATCTTCAAAGCGTGCCTTATTTAAAGACATAGTTTCAACTTTGCGCCCAGTGGCTGCAGCCCATGCAAGCGCCGGTCTTCGGCATCCTGCCTTGCCGGGGTTCGGAGGATGCCGAGTTTGGGGGTCTTCGAGGATTGTGGGTGCGTGCTTTTAGGTTTCAGGCTTTGTAGGCTGGCAGTTCGACAGTTTATTGAGGGTATACGGACCGTGTGTTTCGTGGCAGGGTTGTTTGGGAGCGAGCTGTTCCTGCTGAGCAATAATTCGAGAACAAGGGTCCGGGGTCAAACGTGTACAGGATGAGGAAGGAATCTTTGAGGCTCTTTTGATTGCTGTGCGGGCGAGTTTTTCCCAAAGGGCTTCATGCGGGCCTTCTCGGACTTTGGCAGGGTTCAAGACTACCAGGCCCTCCATGTTTTTTCGTACCGTTCATTGAGCCGGACATGCCAGGGATTAAACAACACTTGAAGCCCACGATAACCGATAGCCCATGCAGAATGTTGGCTGAGGCTAGTTCAACCAGGCCAAGGGTACTCTTGTGGTCGAGCTACATCGGGTGTGAGTGTATGTTTGCCTGTTGATGCAAAAAGGGGTTATGAATAATAAGGATACTCGGTTCAATGGTTGAGGCCGCTACCTTGAACCGAAAACCGAATCTTCACTTATCCCAAATCCTGAACTGCCCCATTGAAAGGGGGGTCCGGGGTGGGCTCCTTTGCTGCAACTCCCACACCTTCTCTGGGCATCCCGGACTGTTGCTGCGCAAGGCGGTTCTTCATGGCTTGCAGAGGGTTCACCCTCAGAAGCAACACTAAGGCCAAGGGAACGATCTAGGAATGTCGAGTTCAGGTTCAATTTCAGGGCTTCTTCGGGGTTCGGGGTTCATCCTTAGAGCCCCATCACTCCCTGCTGCTGTCCTTCTTCACGTTCGTAACTCTGAACACCCTATCAGATCCGAATCCCTCCAACGCCTTTGCACTTACTGGCTTCCGATGCGGAGCTCTCAGGATTCAGAGCGAGCTTTTGCCAGAATATTTGACATTCATAGGCCTTTGGGATTGTTTTCCCTGCCCCACGCAGGCTACATCAAGGCTGCGAAGGAGATGCAGCGATCAGACTGACCTCGGGGACGCATTGCGCACCGCCGAATCAGTAGCTTTCTCTTGGCCACTGTCAAGCTCTGTCAATTCATATTCCGTCCTGCCACTCAGGGTTGCTTACATGCATGAACACCCTGAACCCTTAAGCGGCTTACTGCATAGCCCCAGCCTCCCAACGCCAGGAAACACCAAAAAAGTTGGGCCTCAACAAATTGATTTATTCAATTCCCTGCCCGGGGCCTCCCACACCTCCAGCCTCCACATGGCTCGAAACATCAATATGTTAACCAATTGCTTTTGGGATTGCCTGCATGCGCACCCCCAAACATCCAGGGGTCCAGCATTATTCAGGCCGGGTCGCTAATTCCGTCGATCTCGCTATAATTGCCCCAATGCAAACGAGACATGCCACCCCTATCATAAACATCATGTAAGCCGAGCCTTTCAGATCTGAACAACATATGAGAGCTTCTCAATCCTTTGACGACCCTATGCTGTAGCCTCCGCGCATCTAGACTCAGTCTGATAGCAGACGCATCAATAATTAGCACTGTCGTCTCTTCACAACCTCCAACAAGGCTTGATTTACCTGAAATCTCATCCGCTAGGCTCCCTGGAACTCTCCGAAAGTAACGGCTATCAAACAACCCTGACCACCGTAAAAAGCAGGTATATACAAGTAGCGCAGCAATTTCGAGCTAAACACATATACCAATAAAACATCATCTGTTTGCGTGGGTACATCCTACACTGCCTACACGGTTTCTTCCGGCTAAAGCCGGAACCCAAATCCCCATACCCAATCCCAAATCCTAAGCTAGTCTTCTCGAAAACACCAAACCCAAATTCCGACCTTCAGGCGCAAGGTTTCGGAAGCCAACATCCCGAGGCACTAACGGAACTGCGCGGCTCTGCACCGGCCTCGAAATCAGGG